GATGTATGTACAAAATGTTAAAGAATGTGGCACAGAAAAGATTTGATGAAAGGAACACGGGACTATAAGAGGCTGAAAGCAGCACAGTTGAAGAAACGTTTAAGGATGTGGGACAAAAGAGAATTGGCAAACAAATTGGTAGAGTAGGACAAAGAGTGAGACAGAGACAGAAAGATAAAGACAATGACAGTGAGGCAATTTAAGAAGTTTGGACAGAGAAAGAAATAGATAAATCTATATGGAGTAGACAGCATAAAGTACTCGATAAGGTGTCTTATTTTGAATTCGGCAAGGTATATTTTTAGTATGGTTTCAGCGCATTATAGCCTCATCTCGATAGGCTATTGCATGCCGCATACTATATTCATAACGACCACTCGACTAAAGGGTAGAGGGTGTGGTCTCAAAGCAGGTTCACATGTCAACAGCCAATTGGCAGCAATTCGTATGCATTCGATAACGATAGATGACCTGATAGTAGCTCCTCAACCGGCTCTGCTGCAGACCCGACACAAGTGTAACCTATGTAGGTCACACACAGCTGGAGGGAGCACTACATAAAAAGGGTGGGGGACGGGAGGGAAGAGGCACATTAAACTGCAAATGACGTCAGCGATTTCAAGAGTTGACAGCGCGGAGACGAGGTTAAAACATGTTAAAATTCCCGTGAATTTTCATTGCCTCTTGTCATTTATAAATACATATATATATTTTTTGGGGGAAATACCTGGTAGTTCGGCGCTTTCGTTTTTTTTGTCGTTTTTTATTTATTTATTTTTTTTTTGGTGACTTCCGTTGATGGGAAAAACTGCGCGAATTGCAAACTATTTGGCAATTGGCTAAGCGTTTGGGCCGTAAAATCACAAATGTCCATTATCTAGCCACATAAATCGCTAATAATACGCCGTCTCGTCTGACTGCTAATGAGCCCAATGCGTAGAAGGCGCATCCGAAAACACCAAAAAAATAAATCAAATCGGAAGTTCTATGGCACATTGAACCTGCTTGCAAATTAGCGCCACCCACAAACCCAAAAAAACATATAGAATTATTATGGCGCATAAATCTCAACAATAGAAAAGTTGTCTATAGAGTATCTGTTATACACTGAACCCATTTGCAAAGGGTAAACAGGGTATAATGTTTGTCTGACCAGCTGTCTGTCCTTCTGTATGTCAAAGGTCCTCTTAGTACTGAAATTCCAATAAGTTATCGATAATCCAGTTTCCAAGCAATCGATAAAATTCGATATTTTTATCGTTTTAATAGGCGGCAAACGTTTCAATTCAAATGCGAAACTTACGCAAGTGCAAGTTTAAATTCAAATCTACAATTAACAACTGCTATTGTTGTTGTTGTTTTCTTTTTGTTGCTATCCACTTGATAGCTGCCTTAGACGATCCAATTGATGCGTGCTTGCACTTTTATTTTGTATATATACATATCTATATATACATTTAATATGTTTGTTAACGAACCTCATCTTCCGACACGGAAGGCGACGCCAGACGCGGCTTCTGTTTTTTTTTACTCATTTTTTTTTTTGATTATTTTTTTTTCGCTTTAGTTGCTTTGAAATTGTCGAAGCGAAATTTTGTTTTTAGTTTTATTCATTTTATTTTAGCCAAATTTCAATGTCAGTGGCACTCAACTCTCATGTGCATATTAATGGCTTTATTTAATTATTTAGTTCCGATCGAACTACATACGCTTTTGCCTTTTGCGCTACATGTGACAATTGAGGGGCTAAGTTTAAAAATATCAGTTCGAATCGCGTTCACTGGGTCTAGAGCATTTAGCCTACTCGATTTTTTGTACACACATCTCGCATGGAGAGCTGCTAATTAGCTGCCTAAATGCTCTCAATACGATTTTTGTAAACATTACTCATTATTGCCGTGATTTATTGTTACAATATTGTGAATATATATATATGGTATATAGTATATATATAGTATATATATATATGTATATGGTAAATAGTATCATTTATAGGCAAAAGGATATATATAAAAGGGAAATTCGGAATACAAGTCAAAGGATACTTACGAAGGAAATAACAATATAAATAATATAACAAAGTATAGAGATGACTAAACCATAATATATTGGTGTTAAGAAATAGTTGATGCAATTTAAATGAACGAATTCTTTAAAATAAAAAGGGAAAATGGCAGCCAGTATGTAAATTCTTAAGTCTGTCTTAAATCTTTTTATGGCAGCTATCTAGATCTAGACTTAACACGCAATCTGTTTGCTTTTATTTATTGGCCAATATTTACGTTAAATATCATAAATAAATAGTTACATAAATGATTTTTGATGTTCGATTGATTTGTTTACAATTTTGCGTCTATTACAATTGTTTTTGTTATTGAACATGAAACAAAATGTCATCGAACTGTTGGGAGATTGTTGTTTTTGTTGTTGCTTGGCTTGATTATGGATTGCGTGTCTGCCTTTTTTTCTTCATATTTTTTATATACCAACAAGCTATACTATGTATATAAATAAATACGTTTTAATTCAATTTTGTTTCTTTCGATTCATGTTGGGCTGTTTTGTATTCGAAAACGTTGATGACGAACTGTTCAATTATATGTGGCATGTTAACAACAACTTAATAGAATACAACAGCAAAAACTGTGAGGGGAAAAAAACAACAAACAATTGTTTAAATATTTTGCCAGAAGATACGCGGGCAATGCTCTCCGAGGAGGTCACAAATAATGTTTTATGCATAATATTTATAAATATTTTCTCAAACATAGCAATTTAAATGATTCGCAATGCCAAACTTTTAAGTGGGCTTCCAATCGACTTTTGTGGAAATATGTCACAGGAAGTTAGGAAATTGCCAAATAAAATGTCGCCAACGGAGCTAATTAATAGATTAACTTAACAATTTTATAAGCTTTTAATGCATAAACTAAGATTTTCGACTGACAGTCGCCAAATTGATTGCAATTGAGCTGTCTTAATTTGTCAAGAGTTTCGTATTACAGTTACGAATGCACTTTGTTAATCAATTTGAAGGCTTTAATTTTGTACTTTTTTTTGTCCAGAATTTGCATTCAGTTTTGGCAGTTAATTCGCTTTTTATTGCTTTCCTGATGGCCTTTACACGCGTTCCGATAATTATGGCGGGCAATAGACCTGCGTCAACCAACTGTAGTTATACGAGCGATTAATTTATAGCATATGCGTCATAAAACTACGAGTATCTAGTAGCTAACGTTTTATGCCCACTTGTTACTCGGTTTATTATGGGGGATATTTAGTTATTGACTAACTAATCCAAAAGAAAACTAAAATTTCTATAGACACATCTAAGAAAACTAATAAGACATTGATTTAACTTTTGTGAACTAGTTCATTTTTGCATTTATCGATAGCTGGGAAAATTATCGATACTATTATGAATTAATAATTTCGTCAGTCAATTGCAACCACGATACTATCGATATTTTTAAGTATTTTACATGATCTTAGCACTCTTCTATTTCGAGACAAGTAAAAACCTATCGATATTGAATTACTAGTTTTGTCACCCGATAGACGTGATATTATCGATATTTTGGACATTTTAAAAAATGCAAAGTAATTGCTGTAAAATCAAGGCATATCATCATTACTTATCCACCCGATTGTCGATACTATCAAAAGCTTTCAATATACAATCGATGTTTGCAATCGGAGTGCCGATAATTTGATTGGTGTATAATCTATTGTTGCGATTAAAAAGCAAGCGACAGTACTAAAAAACAATATATATGTCAAAAGGTTTTGAGATCAATTAGTAATCGATTCATATTCGATTTTCTATCATATATATTGGATAGTTTACTAATAATTTTAGTTCAAACGAACTAATTTATATTGTTTATTGATCGGATCCTCTTAACTAATAATTCTTCTTTTTGTTTCTTTTCTAGGTAAGTAAAATTCATTAAAAACACGATTAATTAAAAATCTGGATCACTTTTGGCGACACGTATTTAATTGAACGGGTAACTAACATCGCTGACTCATTACATTTCCGATACATATGCATTTATTCTATATTTAACTATATTTAATTATATCAATTTATTACGGTTGTCGCATGCACTTGCAGCCAGAACTTGTGTTATCATAAATTTTCGCCTGAAAACGTGTATCGATTAATATGCCTGAGACGGCCTAAGCACAATCATGTTTTTGTTTTTAGCATTCTTTAACAATTACGAGTTCAATAGCGTTCACAAGAACTCAACAGTTGGCATTTAAAGCGCATAATTTCAATTTCAGTGTTGCGTATTTTTGTATGTTTTTATATATTTAAAAAAAAGAAGAAAAATTGCGAGTTACTTGACAAAATGTCAAACAACAATAAGCAGCAATTTAATTATATTAAACTGATCTTTACAATCAACGCACTTTATGACTAATTACACAGGTAATTGTAAAATAAAGTAAACTCATTTATCTTGTCAGCACCTGTTAAGAGAGCCTCAAAATGGACAGTAAAAAAAAAAAAACAAAAAGAGACAGCTTATTCGTAAGCTGCTGTTGTCTCTCTTCTGTATTAGAAGAGCACGCAAATCGGATATCAGCTGTTGTTGTTGTTTTAGAGTGCACTGAGTGAGATCTTACCATTGCGGGCAACTTCTTGTCAAAGCAGCGTATAAGAGACGCCACCAAAGAGCGCGAAGCTCACGCATACAAAGCCAAAAGCTGGGCTCCAATTGCGCTCGAAGCGCACATAAACACATACACACGTATGCTGCTGCTGCCGCCGCTGCGTGTGTGTGTGTGTGTGTGTGTGTGTGAGTGTAAGACTTACCGCCGTAGCGTCGTTTCGTGCGCTTTAAAACCTTTCTATAAAAATTTCATAAACGTATCAGTTGTCTGCGAAGCGGTGCACAAAACGGACGTAACACGGAAGGTGGCAAAAATTAACAAAAAAAAAAAATAATAAAATAATAATAAGAAATATCGTGTGTTTATTATATATGAAGCATAAAATTTATATATTTATATAGGAAATTAAATTTCAAACGCCAGCCTCAATTACTTATTGTGTATTTAGTCGCGTGTTTTATGTTTTCTGCAACATTTTGTAGACACAATTTGGACATTTGAAAATCGCTGGCAACACAATTGATAATATATATACTTGTTGCACGAGAGGGCGCGCGCGGCATGTTGGCTTACATTTAGCAGCGACTGTTTTTCTTTGTTCAACAGTGGCTCCAAACAACGTACGTACGTAGATTCGTGTCTCTTTCTCTCGGTGTGTGTACGCGCGTGTGTGTGTGTGTTAAAGTGCATTTACACTGTGATATGGAGCAGCAGCGCTGGCGTCTTGGCAACATTTCATAGCTTAGCTACATGTTGCTACAACAAACTACGAAAGGTAGAGATCGAGAATTGAAGCGCATAAAAAGTTAACAAAGTGGCAAAAGCAACAACAGCAACAAGCAACACACTCGGCGGCATGTTTATTGTTGTTTGTTCGTTTGCTGTTGTTGTTATTCTTGTTGTTGTTGTTGTTATCTGTTTTGCCGCTTTGTCAAGTTGCGCGCTGGCGCAGAACTTTCTATTTTCTTTGCTGTTTCGTGCTGTGCTTTTTTTTTTAATGCTATATAATCTTAAGATGCAAATACAAATACGCATACATATACACACCTATATGTACCGATATATCTTTTTGTAGCCTTTAGAATTTCAATGAATGAATTTCATAAGAATTTTTACATGTCACACAACACACGCATTTACCGTTGAATTGCCTGTTGAGTTTTTTAATTTTTTCTGTCTTCTGTTTAGTTTTTTTTTTTTTTACCTTTACGTAATGCTAGAATTCTGTCAATAGGTCTATAGCACTTTTTGCAAAAACATCCCTAATCCCCTTATCTGGGTCTATGTGCTTAAATGTGCATATTTTGCGACTGTTTTTGCAGCAGTTGGTTGCCTGCAAAAAATTGGTATATACAAAAATATAAAACTCTTAACTGGCGATATAAATAAAACACCTAGTAGGGGGGAGGGGGCAGCGTCAGAGTTACCTGTTGTTGCATATACTTTGCTCGACTTTTCGAATTGGTGTAGTTTTTTTTATATGTATGTATTTCTGCCGCTGCAACCTGCGCCATATCAATTTCTGAACTTACGTGACTTGAACAAATTGCACTATTTTGCAAATACCCAGATGTATATATATGTATATATATATAATGGCATGTTGGTATAGCTTGCAGCGGGCTCCACAACTCTGTTTCCATGTCTTGTTGGTTTTTCTCTATATATATTATATATAGTTGTCTTTTATAATTCTTGGACGTCATTTAAGCGCGTTTCTCTTATCGCCATTCAAGCGACATGACGAACGCTTTATGGCATTCAAATGTTTTGTTTTTATAAATTAAAAAAAAGTACACCTTATATTATAATAGATATTTTTACTTGGAAACTATGGTTTTACGAGGCTAGAAACTTGAATTCTGTAGAGTTTTTTTGATTTAAAAAGCTGCATGCATATATATATGATTTTTGAGTTAAACGGATAGTTAATGTATATAGCTGCTCTTCGATTATCCAAATTGATTACTTGGAATGGGAAAATAAATAAATAATTTTATTTGTTCTACTCTAATATTTCTTTTTTCATTTAATATATTCACTTTAGACACTCCCTGTGTTACTCCTTTCTCCTACTCTCTATAGTCTACTCTCTCTTTTTTTCTTTCTTTCTATCTCTCTCACTCTCTTTTTACCTTGTCCTTGGTCCACGTAAGAAGTTCATCCTTTCCATTTCCTTTTTTGCCATATCCTTAATTGTTTTGCCAATCGCTGTGCCTAGCTATGTTGAAGAGGAAAGGCTAATAATTTGTCTTTTAAATATACTTTCGATCATATTATTTATTTAATATGAATATATTTAACTTGGGCTTAAATTCCGCAACTAAATCTTTCATTGAGGGTACAGCCGAGTCGAGTTTTCTATCTGACGCCACACACACCTTTGATTTGTTTGATTTTCTACAGTGTCTGCTGCATGTTCCCACACGCTCCTTACACTATCTTTGGCTGTTTTCTCAGCCACTTTGCGTCACAGTTGGCGTGTGGCTGTTGCTGCTGCTGCTTCAGCTGCTGCTGTTGTCTCTTCTCTTTGGGCCGTAAATTTCCTGTCCGTGACTCATGCGGTCGTCAGTCAGCCGACGGTCGTCAGCAGAAACCGATAAAGATACAGATACATACGTGTACATATACTATATATACATATGTATTTTACTTGAAAATACATGAAAATTGCTTACAAAAGGGCAGAAAGGGTACAACAGAAAATAAAAATAATAAGAAAAAAAGAGTTTTACAGAACAAAACAAGGCGAGTAAAAAAGCAGTTCAATTGTTTTGTTGTTGACATTTTGCAATGTTTTTTTTTTTTTTCATTCTGTTTTTATCTGTGAAACAACAAATGTTATGTAGTATATAAGGTTTTCAGCTTAAGGCATGACAAGCACAATAAATTCGACCAGAAGTTATTATTACAATGAGGTCGAGATAAACAAGAAGAAGTATTTTGGAATTGACATTTTGTATATGGTTGATTTTAAAGAGAACTAAAAAATGACGGAATATATACTAAATAGCTTAATGTTGGGCTTCTTTTAACTATTCATCTATGCATTCACTTGCAGATAATCAGCTTAAAAGGCGGGCTAATTGCCTTCTTTTGAAAAATTTGTGCGAATTTTGAGCGCTGGAAATTTCCCACAATGACGTTTACTTCTTGGAATTCAACACCAATAAATATACATTTGGGTATTTTATGCTTGAAAACAACTCAAACTCGAAACTGGTTGTCGAAGGAGCTTCACTTTTATTTAATACAAAGCCTGAACTTTGCTCAGCTTTCGATTTTTTTCCTTCTGTTTTCAAGTAGTTGCTTTTTTTTTCTTCATTTAGCTCTAGCTAAAATGGCTTCCAGGCCATTTACAGTAATTACATCCGAGGATGCCAAAATTTTGTGGGTTTTTTATACCCATACCCTGAACCTATTGAAGGTTTTTATTAAGGGTATAATGGGCAGTACATCCAATAAAGGCTCTGTCTGTCCATCTAGATATGAGTGAGTGTGAGTGTATCGCTTTTAGAATCCATTCAATCAAAAGATTTTTAATTTATATTCTTTTTAACTGGAACGAGTTCACAATTTTTACTCATTTTCAAAATATCGTTAAATATTGATTATGAGTCTTGGTTTTCTAAGCATTAATTGAAGATTATAAGAGCTAAATACACCAAACTTTGTATAAAGGTTCTTGCATGATAAGCACAGCTTAAGAATCTTTCACTTCTTGAATATCTCCAACCTTGAAGCAGCAGCTCGGCTTGGGTATAGGGCATCTGCCAGTCGGGCACGCCTAACTAAAGCACTCACTTGTTTTGTATCTCCTTCTTTTTTGTGGGATGTGCTCTTTGGGGGCTGGTGAACTCGCTGCGCGTGGCCAAAGTTATTTGGCGCCACTAAATTTAGTCGACGCTCTCGTTACCATTGTGCAATGACCCAAATCAAAGCCAAACTCATTTGTGTGTTGGTTTGTGTGTTTTTTTTGCCTGAGTTTTTTTTTTGCCATTTTAAACTTAGTAACAATTTGCACATGAATTTGGAAGCTGGAAGATACTAAAAACGAATGTTTATATATTATTTTTTTTGCTGTGGAGAAAGTATTTGGTTTTTCAGTATGAATAGGTTGCTGTTTGTCTTTGTGAGTTAAATTAGTTGATTATCAATAATTTCGTCTGGGGCGTGTTCAGGTTGGGTTTCATAATTTGCTTGGCAACAAATGCTTGGCAACAAAGTTGCCAACAAACGGCAAACGCTAGACTCTTAACTTGGCTCACACACAGACACACACAGAGAGACAAAAGACAATGAGCTGAAATGGTAAAAAACAAACCGGTTCAAATTGGGTCGTAGTACTTTTGAGTGCAATTGTTACCTTTGAGCAGCAGCTCCAGCAACAACAACAACGATAGCCAAACACTTCACTCATTATGGCTGGCTATTATGTTGGTCTTGTTTCAGTTTTCTTGGCACGCGCTTTAAGGCCCACAGTCCAACACCCGCCTCCGCCTACACTTGGACATTTTGTAACACATTTCGCATTCGGTTAGCATAGGTCAGTCTTTAAGACCTTCCTAGGGGGTGGGGGGTGTATGTCCCTTAAGGCCTTCCGCTGCTAACCTTGCTGGCTCTAATGCAAAGCTATGGCATTCCATTGACAAATGGTAGCAAAAACCTAGAAACAAATCGCTTATTAAACATCTATTAACGGACATTTTGCATACTCACAGCTCTCGCGGCGAATGTTAGCCTTCCAATATATATTTGTTTCTTTTATACATATATTTTGCGCTAATTGAGCCCAAAGTGCATAACTGTGAGTTTGCTGTTTTTTTTTTTTTTTAAACAAAGCTTGACTAGTTCTTGTGACAATATCCAGCTAATTAATACACATGCACACACACTCGCACACCTTGTCTTATCGGCACACACAGACTTTCGTCTGGGGGGTCTGGTTCGACAGGTTTGTGCGTGCTTTATTAATATTATATAGAATATTGTTATATCTTGTTGTTTTTCTTGTTATTTTTTTTTTTAAGCACAGCTGTTTATGGGAAACAGTACTCATGTGATCACAATATTTTAATAAAGTATGCGCTGGGCAGCCAGTTCTTTATTGCACTTTCAGCAGTAATCAATAACTTTTAAAAGTTTAAACATTAAAGAGAAAGTGAAGTAGAATAATATATTTATTTGGTATACCTAAACAGTGAACTTGATTTGGAGGTGGACCTTAAGTTCTTCTATCGATAAGTTACCAAAACGATTACTCGATATATTTAAGTCGATAAATCGACCAACTTCAGTTATTTCAAAAATGGATTTCTTCTACCGATAACTAAACAACCCGCTTAACAGATAAAATTAACTTAACTTCTTCAAAAATTGAATTTATCTTCTATCGATAATTGAACAAATCGATCAATTTTAATTGATAGAATTGTCAAGTTGTTAAACACTGAACATTAAATTTCCCAATTGGAAAATCAATACAAAAATATATTTATTAATCTGTAAGGAATATAAATCAGAGCATATATCAACTTGTAGAAGGAAACTGAAGAGTAGAATTAATGATTTAAAGACTATTAATGCCTTTGTATAATTTGTTAAATATGCCATAACTGTTTGTTACTTAAGCATAAAGTTACAGCTTTTTAGAATGCTAAAAATTATCTAAGAACTTAGAGAGCGGATCAGTTCTATTAGGCATTTGGATGATCACAGTCAAGATGTGCCAGAAACTTAACTAATGAAACGTATAGAAAACTAATATCAAATTCGGTCATCTTAGCTGTAGAAACTTATAACAGAAATAAATTATAAAGTTAGATAAGACATAATTGAATTATTTTTCAAAATGAATTAAGATTGATTGCGTATAAATATAATTTAGGTAGATAGCTATGTAGATAGCAATATGTGGGCTAGTGTACTTAGATCTTCGGCATTCTAAAATACAATTTGTAGTGTTTTGTTATATGCAAAACAAATCAGAGCAAAACTTTCAGCTGTTAAGCGCCTATCAAATGCTGTTAATGGACGCAAAATGATTCTCAATTTATGGCTAAATGCAAATATTAAAGAAAAAAAAAAAACAAAAAGTATTGTGACGCCTTGATGCAGTTTTTTGCTGAATTTTTTTTTTTATTGTCTTGTTTTATTTATTTTGTTGTTGTATTGTTTGCTGTTTTCGGTTTCTTTGTGGCCTGACATTGACATTTGCTGATGCTGTTGCTTCTGTTGCTGCTGTTTTTATGATCCGCAGTCTCTGTTTATTGTCTTTGGAGGGTTAGCGATATGTGTAACCAAAGCCATTTGTCTCCAGTCTGTCTCCCAGGATGTTCACTTCGTTGCATATGCCTGGAGAGCTGCCCTCTAAATCGTTTTCGTCTCAAGTGCCCAAGTTGCCGGCCCATGTGGCCAATGTGTTCCCCCCCTGGCTGCTAGTTTGTTTGCTTTGTCGGCAAGTTATCAGTCAGTCAGTCAGTCAGTCACTCACCGTAAACTTGAACTGCTCTGCGACTGCTGCCAAGTCCAAGTTGTTTCCATTTCCATTTGCGGCACTGCAGCCTTGAAGTCACACTTATTTACATACACGCTCGCATGTGCGTACTCTTGTGCACTTACACGGCATGGCAAAATCAAAAAAGTTCATTGGTCAGCTAATGAAGCCCACCTTCAGATCTTTTGCTGTTGCTGTTGTGGTTATTGGCTTGGACTTAACTTGCGTCTCTGACACAATTGTTACCAATTATTTCAAGCTCAAAGCTGCACCCACCCGTTGCGAAACTAGAAATTTTCCATTAATTTGTCACTTGACATCAATCATAAAGCTTCAGACATAAATCACAGTATTATATTTGCTTACTGCTAAATATGGCCAGCTCTTAAGAACACCAATAAACCAAAAATATAAAACTTGTTTGCTCAGCTGCTTGCATATTTCGCGTTCGCGGAATCAAACACCAGAACGCAGTCTTTGCGACATCTTTCAACTGGCAATTTTTCTCTTTATATATTATTTATCTTTAACTAATTGCCATAACATAACATGTGCTAAAAGTTATTTACAATATATTAGCTGGAATTTGAAAATTTATATGTTTATAAAAAGCATTTCGGTTGAAAACATATTTTTTTTTCCTGACTGGAAAAATTCTTGGGCAAAACGAAGCTTATTTTACCTTTTGGCAAAAATCTGTTCGACCATGTGAAATAAGCTGGAACTTAAGCTGTAAGAATACATATGTAGTTTTCTTTCTGTAACATATCTATGCTTTACTCAGCAAATGCAGCTCTTTTCTGTTAATTATGTAGTCGAGAGTAAATCTTGTAATACTTTTACACTAATACTTTTATGTTCCTCAATATTTTATGTTATCTTAAACTGAATTATCCATCACAGACAACATAAAATGTTCGCTACACTCGATTCTGTTTAATATTTCTTGTATTTGAAAATTCTACTCGAATGACTAAAATTTATAATAGTGAGAAAATTGTCAATTTTGGGTCATTCACTAAAAACTTACTCGTTTCATAGCACATCCAACACATGCAAATCCCATAAAATTATCCAAAATTGACTGAGCGCCATCATTTTTGAATGGCATCCACACGACACAAACATTTGAATTTTTGTTTTTAATTTATGCCAGGTCGAACAAAAACGACAAAACGTAAACCAAAATACAAAACAGGAGATGAAGAGATTAAAAAGCAGCAAAGCCCCTGGGGAAGATCGGTTGGACAACCAGACAATCAAGCTACTGCCATACAAGGCGGTGCTTTTTCTCGTCGCCATTTTTAATGCAGCTCTTCGGCTAGGTTACTTTCCAGTGGCTTGGAAGAAGGCACATATAATCATGTTGCACAAGAGCGGAAAGCCCCCTAATCAACTGGGATCCTATCGCCCCATCAGCCTCCTGCCTGCCTTTGGTAAGATTCTGGAAAGGTGCATCCTCAGAAGGGTCCTGGATACCCCGGAAATAAAACGCTTGATCCCGAAGTTCCAGTTTGGGTTTCGACTCAAACACGGTACCCCTGAGCAACTACATCGGGTCACAAATTATATTTTGGACGGCTTTCACAGGAAAGAGTATGTGGTGGCAGCATACCTTGACATCCAAGAAGCCTTCGACCGGGTGTGGCACGCAGGACTCCTCTCTAAGATAAAGGACAAATTGAATCCGCAGCTATTTAGCACCATTGCGAGCTTCCTAACTGAGAGAACCTTTCAAGTGGTGCAGGATGGAGTAGCCTCTCAAACCAAACGCATAAAAGCGGGCGTTCCACAAGGCAGCGTCTTGGGTCCCACGCTATATAGCCTGTTTACACATGACATGCCCACAGCAAATGCAAGCAGACGGAATGATCGGCAGGACCTTCTGGTGGCCACGTTTGCTGACGACACGGCAATCCTTGCAAAAAACAAATGTGTGTACGTGGCAACTGACCTCTTGCAGGAATACCTCAAGCGATTTGAAAACTGGGCTTGTAGATGGAACATCGCAGTGAACCCTGGAAAGTGCGCCACGGTTACCCACACTCTACGCAAGGACTCATGCCCCGGACTTTTTCTTCATGGTGAGCTTCTAGAGCAATATCGTCAACACAAGTACCTAGGTGTCACTCTCGACAGACGACTTACATTTAGTAAGCACGTCTCTGCAGTAACGAGCAACATCAAATCTAAGATAAGGCGAATGAGCTGGCTCCTCAACTCCAAAAACAAACTCTCGCTCCGAAACAAGGTCCTAATCTACAAGGTAATCCTTGCCCCAGTGTGGCGTTACGGGCTTCAAGTTTACGGTATAGCTGCAAAAACACACCTGAACAAAATTCGCATCATTCAGGCCAAAACCCTGCGCAAAATAACTGGAGCCGAATGGTATATTCGCACACGCGACATCGCCAAGGACCTCAAGGTTCCAATGGTGGGCGACATAGTCAACAGGCAAGCAGCGAGCTACTCAACAAAGCTCCACAACCATCCAAACATCCTGGCGAGGAGCCTGCTAAGGAGGCGAAGAAGAAGGCGACTGAAGAGGACCTACCCAACCGACCTAATCGATCGTTATGTATAGGTGACAAGCTTCGTTAATTACACCAAAATATGTTTCTGTAATCTGTTAACCTAATTGTATAACTAATTGTAAAACCACAATCATCGCTAAGCTAAGTAATTATGTCACTCTGATAAAAGTTGCTAACATAGAGTAACAGGATACCAGATTTCTTAATAAACAAAATATAAAAAAAAAAAAAAAAAAAAAAAAAAAAAAAAAAAAAAATACAAAACAAGCAAATAAAATACAAAATAGATACAAAACTTTTGTCATAAACTATGAAATGTACTCGTTTATCTCTCGTGCATTCACTGCAATTGTTTTTGTTTTTCAAGGTTGTCTCTCGCTAGGAATTGAGTTGTATGCACTACAAAACTTGGGTATTAAAACGAAAATGTTTCGAAAAAAAAAAAACTATCGACGTCGTTTTAAATCGGAACAAAAGCCCAACGGATTTTGGCGCGTGTGTTCGATATTATTTTGTAGTTGATTTTATCAACAGTTTTTGCAAGCCACAAAATGCGCAATAAACTGGCATATTAGCCAAGCAATTTGCATACCCTTCACTCAGTGAGGTATATTCAATGTTGTATACATTTTGAAAGAGTTTGAAAAGTTTTTTTGAATGTCAAATCAAACCCTACCCAAAAAGTCTTCTTGTAGAACAATTGATTGAGTTGGGAAGTTGATATCGATTTAATGGGCTTAGTCTATTTGGAGGGTATTCTCCTCTGCGACTCTAGGTTTCTGTTACATATCTTAAGGCGTTGCATTTAAGCTTTTACCTATGAATATGCATAATGTCTTACTTTGCGTTGGATATTTGCATAAAAACTTCTAGAAGAATTCGAAAAAAGGCAGAAAAATGGAAAACTGAAAACGGAAAACAATGTGTAAATAAGTAAAAGCCCAACCACAGTACGAAACAGCTGAAGGTAAAACAGCAAAGTTCAAGCGCAGCGAGAAAGTTGAACACGAAAAAACAAGTGTTTTTTTTATATTGAAGTGCTTTATTTTTTCTCTTTCTAACAGTTTATTGCCTGTTCGCTCGCTCACACACTCTCCACCCAGCGGAGATTGACAAAAGCGTACATTGAACTATTGTCATTTTCATTGTTGTGGTTAATATTAGACGCGTTGTGCACATTCCCATTCCCATCAGGATGACCACCATGCCGGTGGTGTGGTGCACCGATCCAAATTCGGTGAACAACAAACCAACTGCGTTTGCCCTGCACGGCATACAGCTGCAGGGCAATGTGACCGAGAAGCAGGTAAATGCTTTGCGGGAACTGGTCAATGCGGCGGCTGAGGGACGTCTTATACTGCCCTCGGATGGCACATTTATGCTGCTCGACAGCGGCCTCAGTATCGAGAGCTCCATACTGGCTGGCAAGCAAACGCCCGATGCGGACAGAAGCCACATGGAGCCCGCCAAGAATACTAAGAACACATATATACTGATGCCGGTTAGCAATAATAAGAGCACAGGCAATGTCACAACAACAACAACAACAACAGCAACGGCAACAAATTCCACAACAAAAACAACAACGATGGGCAGTGGCCATGGCCAGTGCACACCGGCGGCCATTGCTGCCGCGGCGGCACAATTGGAATTTCTGTTGGAACCAAAATATTCAACATTAACGCCGCCCAATTCACCGCCAAGCTCGGAGCCGGGCCAAGAGATTCTGTACGAGTTTCTGTGCTGCGCCAAGTGCATGAACGAGCAGCGTGCGGATCATAACGGCACCTGTGGCAGCCGGCGACTGCAGCGCTTCCTGCGGCACTGCAATAATGGAAGTGGCAGCAGCACGGAGCCGCCGCAGTTCAATGAACTGGCGCCGGAATTGAATGTGAATCCTGTGTGCAACATTGCCAGCAAATATGCGCGACGTCAGCAACAGCTGCGTCACAAACAGCTGGCGACCATCTCAATGGGCATTGCACGTAATCGGCCCAATGAGCGTCGTCATCATGGCAAATTACCCATGCACAGTGTGAAAATCTTTCATAATCGCAGCAGTTACACTACCACGAGCGTGGGCGTGCCAGCAACAACAACAACGACGACGGCGACAACGACGACGGCGACTCCCAGTGATAGTCGCCCGGCGACGGCAGCAGCAGAAGCTAGCGCGAGCGCCAGTTTAACGGTGACAGCGGCGCTGTCAACAACGCAGCAGCTGCGCAGCGGAACGCCGGTTTATGCGATTGTGAGCAAAAAGCGTGACGCAAGCATTCAAAACTATGAAAAGAACAACAACAACAGCAACAATACTAACAACAACAGCAACAACGGCACAAACAACATCATGTTAGCTGCTGTGCCAGAGGAGCCCAGCCATTCGAGTCCCACAACGGTTCAAGATCTAATCAGTTTTGAGGATGATGAACCCATTGAACCACAAACTGCCAGCTTAGCCAATGCAGCGGCAGCAACTGCAACAACTGCAGCAGCAGCAACAGCAACAACTGCAGCAACAACAACAACAACTACCAACAACTGTGATAAGCAACAACAAGTGGATCTGCTCTGTGCGCCCAACGATGTGGCCGGGCTGCTATCAACGCTGCTGGTGACGCCGCCGCCGACGCCGCCCAAGCCAAACTCGCCGGGTTCGAATAGTTCCAGTCGGAAGACTAGCTTTGATTCCACCTGCACGGTCAGCTCACTGGACTCGGGCTTTATGGAGATGCAGAACAAATTGGACGCGTTGGCTGCCGCGGCGGCTGTTGCTGCTGCCGGCGGTGAGAAGATCGCGCGACGCAACTACAAGGAATGCCTGACGCAGTCGCGCAATCGCCGCAAATCCTATGAAGAGTTCAAAGCCATGTTCGCTGAGGTGACGCAGCCGGAAGCGCTGGCGCGGCTCACAAGGCGACGCTTCGGTGCCATGCAGGAGCAACAGCAGCAACAAGTGGTTGCAAGTGTTGAGCTGGCAGCGGCGGCGGCCATGCCCGTGGCGGCAGATGACGCAACGCCAGCAGCAGCAGCAGCAACAACAGCAACAACAGCAACATCAGCAACAACAGCAACAACAGCAACAACAACTACAACAACTATAACAAACAGCAATAACAGCGTGTTGACAATGCTCGCCTCAATATCAGAACAAGAAACCACAAACAACAACAACAACAGCAAACCGGATTGCGCAAACGAGTTTGCGGATGAAATGGATACCGGCGACGATTTAACAACAAAAACAGCAACGGCAACAGCAACCGTTGCCACCGCCGCCGCCACCACAGAAGCAATGCGCAAGAATTCCGATTTTCTATCGCAAATACTTGATCAACAGTTGGCGGCCAAGGAGCAGCGGGCCAAGGCGCACAAGCGACGCACATCGTACGAGGAGTTCAAGCGGCTTGTGCGCGAAATCGATGCCAACAACAGCGACATGGAGCAGCAAGCGCTGGAATGTCAGCTGGACACACCCACAGCAACAGCAACAGCAGCAACAATAACATCAGCAGCAGCAGCAACATCGCCGCTTAAACGTCAGAATTCGAGACAGCGCAAAAGTTTTGCCTCCTACTTTCTGCCGCGTCGCAACTCGACAGCCAAAGAGCCAAAGACTGGGCAAATTGAGCTGGCAGCTCCAGAGCAACATCAACAGCAGCAACAGTTGCAATCGTATGCCAAAATGGCGAGCAGGAAAGACAGCTGTAGCTCCAGCGTCAGCTCCAGTGCCAGCTATAAGCGTAATTTTAAAATCTATGATAAGCTCATCTATGGCACTATCTATGACATAATACAGCGCAAGAACGATATCTATCAGTTTACTTATCAGAAGTACGACAAATACATGACCTATGGCACCATCTATGAGATACTGCATCGCAAAGCAACGCCCATGCACGGCAGCAACTCGCTGACCACAGGCAGCGCCGACAAATGGCAGCGCAAGAGTCTCAGCTCCATACTAGAACGCGACACGGCAGCAACGTGCACAGCAGCAGCAACAACAACAACGGCGCTGCAAATGCATAAATCAAATGATGTGATATATGATATAATACAAAAGCAGCAGGAAAAGCGCGAAAAAGAACGTCAAGAGCAAAAGCTGAAACAACAGCAGCAGCAGCAACAGCAGCAATTGCTGCAACAGGATGCATCAACAGACGCTGCCACAAATTTGGGCACGCATGTCACGCACAAATATGGCACAATTTATGACATCCTACAAGGAGAGAAATTGGAAACCAGCGAGGAGGCAGCCAACCCGAAACCAGTTGCTGCTACAACGCGTTTCGTGGTTAGCCATGTGGACGAACAGCAGCAGCTGCAACAGCAGCAACATGCCGCCGACAGCAGCAATGTTGTTGCTGCGGCCGACACGAAGTGCAGTAAAATGCGACGCTTGTCGAATATTCTAAGCTACAACAAATCAGTCAGCAGCCAAACGCCACAGGATGCCGCCAGCAATGACAACAGCAGCGAACAGCAGCAGCAGCAACAACAGCAACAGCTGCTGGCTAAGCGCAGCCAGGCCAAGCGTCGCGTGGGCGTTAGCAATCTGCTGCTGCCGCTGGACTCCGAGGAGCTGTACACGCGCATTATAGCGCAGCAGCGATGCGCGGGTAGCAATAGCACCAGCTGCGGCAGCAGCAATAGCTCGGGCAGCGATGCCGACTGTCAGATGGCGCTGACGAAATCCAATTCCTTGGATGCCATATCCATGTCCGTGGCCATTTCGCCACCAGCCACGCCGTCGCCGCCACGCCCGCGTCGCAGTCTCAAGCAGCACAAATGCCTGCAGCAACAACAGCAGCAGCAACAGTTGCTGCCGCCGCTGATGAAGAAGCACTCGCTGGACAATTGTCTGGCGGCGCCCAAACAGCCGCAACGTCGCTGGTCGAATCAAACGCTGCTCAAATGCACATGCCACATGCTCGACGAGCTCAGCCATCGGCCCGGCCATAGCCATAGCCATTGCACTTGCCCAACGCCCACAATAGTCAGCCCGCCCCCACCGCCGCCGCCGCCGCCGTCGTCTCATGGATTGTCTGTCATTGAGAAGTGCCGCTCACTTCCCGCCGCCTGCTCGCATACGTGCATAAATTTAAGCTCCGGCTGTGCCGATGCGGCGGCCAAGTCTAACACGAAAACTACAACAACGACAACAACAACACAGCTAACAACGTTGACTGTCAAGAAAGGCAAATCGCGTCGACTTTCGGAATTTACGCGTGGTGAATTTTTAAATGAAAAATCGTAAGTTTCCAGAGCCTTCCCGCTCCGCCCCGCACACACACACACACACACAGTTTATATTCATTAACTTATGATAAGACTATTGACAATAACATTTTATACTATTTTTTTGGCTTTATAGACTTTGCCTTCCCATTTACCATTTCATTCAGCTGCTTTTTTATGGCACTTGGAAAGTACAAACGGCTGGCAAAAAAAAAAAAACGTATATAAAAAATTGAGAGATATATATTTTAAGAATTAAGAGTATCGCCAGTTGCTGGCAAATCAAAGCAAAACTCTTAATGTATCTTAGACTAAATTCTTCTACAATTTTCCCATACACAAAATTTACTCTAATTTTCTAGACAACTCTGAGAAAATCTTAAATGCATTTTTTTCTTCTGAAATTCAAACTCTGCAAGCGCATAAAACTTCCCAAATGACGTCATGCTTAGTGCATTTGCACTTGTGGGATTTATGGTGCACAATAGGCGTCACACCCATTTCGGGGCACCATACTAATTGTGTTAGATCCAGACACAGCTGTCAGGTATTTTTTTTATTATTATTTTCTGTTTTCATACCGCAAATGTGTAGGCCAAAAACGTATGTAAAAATTTACAGTACATGCCATGACTTTCATTCTGTAGAAAATCTTGAAAAAATATAAATAAAAAATAAACCAAAGGGTGACTAATCAGAATGCTATTAGCAATACCAAGGCACTTGACCATTGAAAAATAGAGAAGGAGAAAAAAACCAAGCAATAATTGAAATTCAAAATAATTGTTCATGTATGACAAATACAAAAAAAAAAAAAAATAATAAAAATAAAAACGTCACACATACGCAATACACACCCAAGTTCGGAGACGTTCTAGTGTATTGTGTTTGTTTACAAGTTGGTGGTAAAGTGCCTGGTAAATATTTTTTTATAATAAAACAGCTTCTGCCAAATAACTATGCCAGTGTGTCTTGTTCCCACACGGTTTTTTCTCTCTCTCTCTCTCTCTCTCTCTCTCTCTCTCTCTCTCTCTCTCTTTGTTTTGTAGCGATCTTTCGCTTCCATGTTGTAATCACCGACAATGTCACGTCTTTATGTTATTAACCTGCCAATTATTTGACTATCAAAAATCAGTCAGGTACGTGGCCCGCAGAGCAGCTACTCCTCATTATACCTTCGGGTATTTGTGGTACCGTTTTGTTTTTAACTGTTGCCATGCCCCGAAATGATTTGGAGTAGAAAAAAAAAAAGTCGTGACCGTTTTCGAGACATGCTTTAATTAAGCGCTAAACAAACATGGCTCGACACATTTCAAACTTTGTTTTTTTTTTTTTTTGTTGGATTTTTGGTTTTTATTTTTCATTTATTTTATTTTTTGTTGTGTCTCTTTTTTTTTTTTTGAGTTTATCACCAGGTTTGAAGTTGTTTGCCGCTGCTTGTCTGGCGCTTGTCTCATTTTGGGGAGCTTTCGGGCTTTTTGCTCGAGTGGCTCAGCACGTGTGGCCCGAAACAAGTACAAAATGTTTGTACAATTTCGTATTGATATGCAAATTGCGGGACTGAACCAATTTGAAATGCATTTTGGCCTTGAAGTTGACTTGAATTTAATTTGCTTGACGACTCGAGTAGATTTATGCTTGTTTGTGCAGCTATCTGCAATAATGGCTTGAGCAAAATTTTATGATATTTTAATATCATAATTTAAAATATTTATAATAATATACGGAATGGCCAGTTTCGCGAAAAGTAGTTAACTTTAATCTCGAACAATTTTTATTATTATGGTCCAAATATTATATATTGTTCATTGCCATGAGATGCCTGCCAAATGTGGCTCTATACAATAAAATTTTGCATATTTTCGGCTAACCCAAAGGCACTCTACAAGAATATTATTATCAAATTTTTTGTCTGTAGCTCAAGATTTATTTCAAGTGTCACGGCTTAAATCGATATATATCGATTTATGAATGAACAACTAAATATAGCTTATGATTGTAGGGCAATCTCGTAAATTTGGTTCATTTAACCTTGGCAACCTTCAAAATAACTTCTTATTTTGTTCGTCATAAACTGTTTGCCATTGCAAGCGCATATTTTGGTTGCCCAATTGCCCAAATGAGTTTTGCCACCCACATGGACAAGTCTAAAATGATATTTACTTGGTGGTCGCAAATTAAAAGCACATTAGAAGTTGCTAAAAAGAGTGCATTGGGCAACGATGTGCGAGACGATGTGACAACTTGAGTATATATACGTATATCGTATCAAACCCTGCCGGAACCGACTATATATATTGTACATTTCTCCATGTGTCTTCTATATGTCGAACTGTTAATTTGCAGTGACTGCAAATGGCATGGGTGTGGTTGGTCTTGTGTGTGTATATGTGTGTGTGTGTGTGTTTGTGTGTACGTGTGTGGCTTAGTCGAGCCGCCCAACTAAGCATTGGAATTGTAACGCCCACTGGGCCAAATGCTCATCATTAGCTTTCAACGTTTGCTTTTGCTTTTGATCGGATTATTATATAAGAGCGCAGCAAATGCAACGTATGCATCACGTGATTAATTCAATTTATAAGGCGTGTGTACACTCGAAATACTTGACAATTCATTTCGAATTGCACTCAAGCGTTGCCATAACGATAAATTCGTACTTCGGACCCACTGCCCAATTGTGAATAAGCTATCGAACTCGCAACTGCGATACATTTAATAATTACTATAATTTGAGATGGGATTTTTATCTTCACGACAATTGTCGTGGAAATTATATGGGTTAGTCAAGCTGGACATGCACGAGGAGAGTTAAACACTGGGTAGAAATCTATATTCCAATGCTAAACTTCAAGAAAAAATAATTAGATATAAAGCGGGTCCAAAAACGAAACACGGATACTTCCTTATATTTTTTAATTTTTCCTGAAATTGATCCAAAGATATTAGTACATCTTAAATAAAGTTCTTAACATTTGGAAGTAAGCAAAAACTTTGTTAACCTCCAGCTAACGATTGACGAGCAAGCATTCTACAAGCAAGTTGTAAAGTAGAAGGAAGTTGTAAACTAGATTATAAGTTTATTTGAATAATCAAATGAACAAATAAATTAGTATTGTATCACACATTAATTTTATAAACAATCGGCTTCCCATATACCGTTATATACGAATATGGCTGACTGTAGTCGAAAAGTTCAAACATTTGTTTAGTTCTCAGCTTCTAGAATATACTTTCAATACACATATATGCTCTTAAACACATTTACAGGGTATCTGGACAATTAAACACCCTCAATGCAACCAAAATCCCATTGTATACAATTGTGAACAATAAACTCAGACCCCCTCCATGTATATACTATGCATAGATACAATAATAAACTCATGATTTCTGTTTTACCTTTCTATCAAAACACAGGCTTAGACAATGCAATTGACATTGAACTGCATGCAGCTTGGCTCTGAATTCAGCAGTATATAGCTTAAAATCCGGCTGCAGTTGATTTTAAATAGATACACAAATTGCTTAATAAAAAAAAAAATATTTTAGCTAGCCATAATTTGCTAGCCAAATTGTCAAGGTTAAATTACATTTGCGTGCTGGTAGAAAAAAGGTAATATAGATTTCTTGAGGGGGTGGTGGTGTCGCCCGTGTACTATAAGCAGACAGCACTTGTATAACCTATAATAAAGGGTATCTTAATTTTGTCAACAAATGTGTGCATGCATTATAGGAGGAGATATCTGCGACTACTCAAAGTTATATACTCTTGATTAGTATTAAAAGTCGAGTTGATATAACCATGTCCGTCCGTCTCTTCTTTGTAAAAATGTTACAAATCTTTGACTCGATACGTCTGTGTAATGCAGACGACTATATCATATTGAAATCATAGTGTGTCGGAATTGGCCGGATCGAAACCATTATATTATATAGCTATCATAGAAAGGCTTAAACAAATTACAGGCTATATGCTAGATCAGGACACTGTATCCCTATAACTATCAGACCAAGTTATTTTGACCAATCTTGGATTTTTGATTTTTAGCATGCTCTTAAGATTTAATCGAAACCCTACGCTTTACCATATTAAAGAAGCCTACTTTGCATTATATATATCTCCTATATATACAACAAAGTTTTCATATGAATGCAATTCAAGAACGGCATTAATCGCTCGGCATACCGAAGCTGGCCATTTTATAGCTTGGTTTTTTTTTTTGTGTTTTTTGCTAAGTGATGTTATCTGGAAAGCGCATTTTTCAGAACGCCTGAGAAAATGGTCAGCAAACGCTGCCCGTTGCCGGAACTTGATAATTTTCTTGGCGCTGGCTCTGACTCCGACTCCGACTTTGACTCTGGCGCTGGCCTTTTACTTACAATGCATTTTATGGCCTGTGGCCGTTTCTATTTGCACATTTTCACTGCTAAAATGGCAACGTGCAACCTGCTAGCCGGGCTACATTGCTGAGCAGATTCTTAACAAAAACGAAAAAAAAAATAACCAACAACAAAAATGTTTGTCCGTCGCATTAGCAGGCATTAGCTGCACTGCCGCAAAATCGAAAGCCTGGCATTAACAAATTATTTCTGCATAAAATTGTGGCCCGGCCCGGGACATATAGGCGGCATGCAACAGGCAGAGGCTGGCAACTGGTAAATGCTAGTTGGATAGTTGGCTGCAACTTGGCTATTTTTAGTCAGAGTTCCAGCAGGCTCTGCTGGCAATTTTGTTGCCATTAAGTATAGCCGGGCGTTGTTCGTCCATCCGTCTCTGCATTGATTTCAAATTTGTTTCGCACGAACTGCAATAGGCTGTAGCCACGCCCTGCCTATTGCCTTATACGTGCTACTAAAATAAATAAATGTCGTTTGCCAGTCGTGTTAGGCAGCAGCCACAGCCACAGTACAGGATGCCCGGCTACACAGACTCTGGCTGGCAAACAACAATTAAATAAACGCCGGCAACTGTTGCCGCTGGCAATTGCTGCTGTTGCTACTGGTTAAGTGCTGCT